AAATTTCTAAGCTCCATCAGCAAGTGCTGCTCCTTCAGTCTCTGCATTTATCAAAAAACATCAATTCAATCCAAAATTCAACAGAATCTATGGGGAAATCACTTGAAATAGAATCTTCAAGTTATCATCTCAGATATCAGCAAAGTATCATCAAAGAAAATTTGTAGACTCATTTTCAAAGGTATATGAGTGAATTTCTGTGGGAACCTACTGCTTAGTGCCACATACATGAGTTTCTGTGATCTAAATCCCTGACTTGTTTATTATTTAATATATGTTTATTCAATAGTTAATAAACTAATTGATATTGCATTAAGCAAATCAGATAAGTTTGCTGTCCTCATGATAAGTGGATGTGTAATGCTCATTACAGCAGAAGCTAGTAGGTTGCTTCCTGCAGAAGCTGTGCATTGCCTCCTAATCAAAAATTCCCTTCCTTTCATTTTATACCTAAAAGAAACATATTTCAGAACAGAATCTGAAAATGTTAAGGTTTTATTTTTCATAGATCAAGTTTATGGAGATCTCTCTAAAATTCATCTTCTTTATGAAAATAATAACCTTGAAAGACATGTACTTCCCTTTTCTCCTCTCCGCACATTTGGATGAGGATACCTCTTACACATCTCTAGCAACCATCATGAAACAATGAGGAATCAGAGCTTAGAGCAAATCAAGTTGAGGGTGGTGATATGAAAAGGTGGAATCAAGACAAACTGCAGTCTTCTTGTCATTGTTAAGCTAATGAGAAAACTATAAATTTGTCATACTTTCAGACTTTTTATTAGACTTTTCAAAAATCCTGCTATGAAATAGCTTTTGAGGAGGTTAACAGCTTTGTTTTCCAATAACACACAGTTCTCCCAATTTTGTATATTTGCATTGCTCCTAAAGTGGCACAAAATAACGAAGATTATAAATCATGTTCCAGTTTTCACACAGTTTTTTCAGCAAACTTTGATTTGAGTAACTTCTGAAAGTTGATAAATTATGAACTACATTCAACTGGCTTATAACAAAAAAGAAAATCACAGAACATTATAGGATATTCTTATTCTCTTCTCCCAACTTTTCCAAAACTCTTATTTTGAGAAATATAATTCAAAAGATTCAAAATCCTCATATGATCTATTATCTTTGCAAAAGTCTCTCAGCCTAACACCTACAGCTCATGAGTGCCAAGGAAACTAAATTTTTTAAAAATACTTCTAAACTTGTGTAGTTAAACTAACTCACAGAGAATTTGATATTTCTTTGGAAATGATGACAACACACACACTCACACACACACAAACAATTTTGTTGTAAATTTCAACTGTTTTTTTTTTTTTTTTAATTGAGCGAAAAAGCTAAGTCCAGGCTGAATGGAAGAGTTAAGTTAACCTGAGCTCCACAGTCTTAGCATGAAAAATTAAAGGGAGAAAGCAAATACCCTGGCTTTCAAGTTCATCCTATCTATTTATCAAATAGGGTGCTGGGAGGTGAGGTTACTAAGTATCAATGGAATTAATTCACAATTTCCTTGGAGTACAAGGAAATACCTTGCTCTAAATAAAGCCAAAGAAGTGGCAGAAAGCATATATATACATATATATATATATGTATATATATGCAAATGGCAATGTATGCCCAGATTCATGTTTGCATGGGATAAGTATTTAATACACATTGCTTGGCATAAGAAGAAAGTATTTCTATAATTCCAAAGCCAAGAATAAAGGCACCAAAGTAGAAAGATGAGTCATTTTGCATTGTTCTCATTAAAGAAATTGCTAACTTTCTCAATTATTAAAAAAAATAGGGAGTTATTCCTTTTTATTTTAAACCTGACTTTTGTAGTTTGAAATGATTATTGTGAAAATTTGGTTAAAATATATTGAATATAAATTAATTTATATTATTGCAATGACAAATTATCATTATTACTCATAAAAACCTAATGCTATATCACTCCCTTTCATTTGTCAAGGCAGATGTACAAACGCATATTTAAAATATCTGACTTCTTACCAAAAGTTCTCTATAGGTTAATGCAATGCCAATCAAAATCCCAATGGCATTTCTTGTAGAAATACATAAAGCAATCATGAAATTCATATGGAAAAATAAAAGACCCAGAATAGCAAAAGGAATTCCAAACAGGAAGTGTGAATCAGGTGGTATAGTGATATCAGACTTCAAACTATACTACAGAGCAATAGTAACAAAAACAGCATGGTACTGGTACCAAAACAGGCGAGTGGACCAATGGTACAGAATAGAGGACACAGAGACAAATCCACAAAATTACAACTAACTTTGATAAAGGGGCTAAAAGCATGCAATGGAGAAAGGATAGCATCTTCAACAAGTGGTGCTGGGAAAACTGGAAATCCATATGCAACAAAATGAAACTGAATCCCTTTCTCTCGCCATGCACAAAAGTTAA